TCAAGCAAAGACCTTGGCAGCGGGACTGTGCCAGTCAATGCAGGGGGGTGAGGTCAGAGTCCAGGTGGGTGAGGGAGCACCGCCCGAGCAAGGGGTCAGACCCAGACCCTGGTCGGCGGCTGCCCCTGAGCTCCCTTATGCAGATGGGCCAGGGCTGGGTCTTGAAGCCCCGGCTCCTGCTGGGCGGGTGGCAAGCTCTGTGCCAGGCAGGGTGGGGTTTGGATCAGGACAGGTGTGCAGGGTCCAGAGGCCAGTGTCAGAGTGGGGAGGGCGGGGCCCTGGCATCCGAGCTTGAGCCACCGCTTCCTGGCGTGTGACGGGGGCACATGACTTGTCCTCTTCCCACCTCACTTGCAGCCGCCGTGGCCTCACCTGTACAGTGGGGATAACTGGGCAGATGCTGCCCGGGGGGTGCAGATTAGATGCACTGAGAGTTCAGCACACGGTGCCGGGCACCACATTGCAAGCACTTACTGGCAAAGATGCCCGTTGTCACCATTATGATTTGCACCTGGAATGTGCCAGGCAGCACCTAAGAAGGGAAGGAGCCCTCCGGACAGGGACTCTTACAACAGGAAGGACGTAGACTGGCAGGGTGGGGGCTGGACCTTCGGAGGCAGACCTGACAGTAGGGAAATGCCACGCCCGGCAGGGAGGTGTGTCAGGGCCCTGGTGGGCCCGGGAGCCCCGAGCCCGAAGCAGGGCAGTTGGACGGGGGCCACTGAGGCTGCTGGAGCAGCGGGGAAGCTGGTCTTTTCTCCAGGGCCACGCGTCCCAAAGTCTCACCCGCCCCCCCGACCCCGACATAGCATCCCCTATAACAGTGATGGCGAACCTTTTGAGCTCGGCGTGTCAGCATTTTGAAAAACCCTAACTTAACTCTGGTGCCATGTCACATATAGAAATTTTTTGATCTTTGCAACCATAGTAAAACAAAGACTTATATTTTTGATATTTATTTTATATATTTAAATGCCATTTAACAAAGAAAAATCAACCAAAAAAATGAGTTTGCGTGTCACCTCTGACACGCGTGTCATAGGTTCGCCATCACTGCCCTATAACAACTTCCAGTAGCTTTTTTTTCTTTTTGCTAAATAATGCATGTTCACTAAAGAAAATTTAGAAGACATAAACTAGTAAAAAGTATATGTAAATAGTCATAATCCCAACTCCCCCCAAATTACCATCTTTACATCTTGGCACATACCTCTCCAGTTTTTTGTCTGTGCTTATATGTATATATTTTACATATTTTTCTTGTGAACTTTATATGTTTATGGGGGCATAACTGCAAGAGTTCCAGCAGCCAGAACTGGAGTTCTCCAGCCTCGCTCTGCCTGTGTACCTCCCTGTGGGGCTCGTGGGGCTGAGGCTGGGCTCCGACCTCCTCCCCATCACCAGACCTTGCCGGGCACGTGTTCCCAGTGCCAGACTGTCCTGGACATCAGTTTTTGGACCCAAGCCTTTGTAGGCTGCGTAGAGACCACCAGGCGCCAGGCCTGCCGGGAGAGGGGGTGTCTGTCTCTCGTGCCCCACCTCCCAAGAAGCCGTGTGCTTCCAAAGAAGGCCGCCTTGGGGCCAACACATGTCAGTTTACTCGGTGGCTCAGTGCCAGATGCCTTGAGCTGAACACTCACCAGCATGTCACTTCCCGAATGCCAGCCCCAGATTCCTGAGTGACGCAGAGCTGTCTCCGTGATGCACATGACAAACCAACACGTGACTTCCAGGTTCTCATCTCTCCCCGAGGGGCGTCCTGATCCTGGAGCTCTTGGTCCCAACGCCTGACTCACTGGTTTCAACAATTACGCATCCACTTCCCTTTCTGCCTGGTGCGCACGCCCTCAGACCTCTTGTCCTTGCCTTCCAGGTATCGGAGAGCAGCATCGCCCACGAGAAACAAAAAGCAAGGGAGGCCATCGAGAGGGAAAGGAGAAGGGTGCAAGACCTGGAGAACCGCCTGACCAAGCAGAAAGAGGTACGAGCCCCAGCGAGGAGAGACGCGGAGGAGCAGGCGTGGTTAAGAGCAGGCTCGGGAGGCAGGCGGTCGGGCCCGCCCCGGCCGCTCTCTGGCTGTGGGACATTAGGCAAGTCGCTCAGCATCTCTGTGCGTTGGTTTCCGCACTCGTGAAACACAGATGATACCCAAAGGTCAGCCTCGTGGAGCTGTGAGGCTCCATTGTTAACGTACACACAGAACACACAGAACAGTCCCTGGCACTCCCCGAATGCTGGCTGTGTTGCCCGCTTTTATTATTATTACTCTGAGCTCACAGCTGGGAAGCAGAGGGGCAGGATCCAAACCCAGGACCATCTGATGCCAGACTCCTTCATCGTCACTCCGCCTCTCCCTGCTGGCCGTGAGCTCTGCGTGGCTCGGCCGCCTGGGGTCAGAGAGGGGGTCAGGATATGGACGCCTGAACTTCTCATCACCTCAATGTCATTTGTCCACCGGGACTTCTCATGATTGTCATCATCGCCTTCATGCCAAACCCCACTTATGAGCGTCACTGGGAGTGGCCGGCACAGTAGAGGTAGAAGTTGGCACATGGCCCTGCCCGGGGCACCTCCACGCTGTGGGATGTAGTTCACTCTTCCTGGCTCCCAGCAGTACCAGGGACACCACACACTCACACACACACACACACACTCACACACACACGATAGCCAACATCTCAGTAGTCGGAGCAAGCAATAAACACACAGCTCGACAATAGAGGTTTAATTTAAATAACACTTAATTTATTTAAAAACAGGTAAATACAAATTCAAAAGGTGTTCAAGGCCAGATGGAACTAAAAGTCTATACACATCAGTCCTGGGTCATTTTCTCTCAAGAAAGGTTCCCAACGTCAGCCCGCGTAGAGTCACTGGGCAGTTTATCCCAGGTGCCCCCGGAGGGCGGGCAGGCCCGGGAACCTGCGTGTTTAGCAGGCAGTCCAGGGGGTGCTGGCGCACCTGGAACGCCGCCACTCCAGGGGGACGAGAGTCAGGAACCGCATCTGGATTGCATGGCGGTCCTGGGCACTTCCAAGAGTGTGTCCAGCGGAGGCCGACCAGAGCTGGGGAAGTGATGCAGGACTTGCCCGCTTCCCTCCGGAGGGCTCCTGTGAGCAGGCGCGACGCCGAGGGCTCGGGAAGAACCCAGGAAAGCAGCCTGGATTCCCCAAACGACTTAACACGGGATCTTCCACAAAATGCTTTACTTAGGGGTAGGAGAAAAGGAGAAATTAACAATTTTAAGTAGATCACTCGGGGCATAACATGGATCGGGAATGAGACTAGTGCAAAAAAAAATATGTATCATGAAATCAATATGGGCCACAATTTTTATTCTAACAGTTACAGTGAAAAGGGAAGCCCAGTTGTGCAATTTATAGATGAAAATGGAGCGATTGCTCATGAAACTGGGACCATTCTTGGTACTCGGCCCAGAGAGAACGTCTCCTGGGGCTCATCCCACAGAGAACTCTGTAATGCGACCAACAGTGTCCTCAACACCTTACAACAGTGACGGCGAACCTATGACACGCGTGTCAGAGGTGACACGCAAACTATTTTTTTGGTTGATTTTTCTTTGTTAAATGGCATTTAAATATATAAAATAAATATCAAAAATATAAGTCTTTGTTTTACTATGGTTGCAAAGATCAAAAAATTTCTATATGTGACACGGCACCAGAGTTAAGTTAGGGTTTTTCAAAATGCTGACACGCCGAGCTCAAAAGGTTCGCCATCACTGCCTTAGAACATCGATGACATCAGAGGGCGGGGCCTTGTGACAACCCTCAGGCAGGCCCCCACTTACCAGCAAAGGTCAAGGAATGACAAGGTCAGAGACACACTCCGAATTGCTTACTCACATGCTGTTCGAGCTGTATATGCGGAGAGCAATAGGGAGATTGATTTCATCTGCAAGGGCAAAAACCGGGTTTCTGTGGAAGAAAGAGGAGAAAGCGGAGAAGGAAAATAAATTGGAACCGTGGGAACAGCGAGCGCTGTGCTCCTGTCCCGCGTACCTGCTGAGTAGTCGGCAAGGAGCAAAGATGCCGGCCAGCGTGTCCTGCCGCTTCCTGGCCCATCAGAGACACCATCTCAGTGTGTGTGGGTGACGGGCTGCTCTGGGGGATGCCTGCCAGGGTCCCCAGTAAGCATCTCCTCGGGCCAGATCCACCCATTGTCCAAACCGGGATTCCTCTCCGTACCTTCCCCTCAATGTTGTTACAAACCTAAAACTGTTCTAACAAAAAAAGTCAAATAAGGAAATGAAGTTCGCAAGCCCCCAGCACAGTGCCTGCCACACAGCCCGCAGGGACTGGGAGTTGGCTAGAACTTTCACAGTCAACGGCAGGACGGGCGGGCTCTGGGCAGAAGGACAGGACATACAAGGCCGTGGCAAGACTGGGCCCCGAGGGGGAGGGGAGGCCATCCCGTGCCAAAGCCTCTAGGAACGTGGAGCGTCCTGAAGGCAGGTCCTGTAATGAGGGGCGAAGGAACTCGGCACATTTATCCTGGAAAATAGAGTTAGAGCGAGACATGACAGTCCTCCTCAAGTATTGAAAGGGAAATAAAACGTACTCATAAAAGAGAAAGAAAATGTACTCGATGAGCTCCAGGTGACAGACCTGGGCTCAGAGGCCGGAAATCGCAAGGAGACAAATGCCAGCTGACTATAAGAGGGAGTTCTCTACTAATTGGAACCTTCCGGAGAAAGCATGGACTTTGGACTTAAAAAGAACCGAGGGAACAGTAACAGGATAGAGTTCACCTCCCTCTGAAACTCATTCCTGAATGTCTGTTGATTTGATATTTGTTGCTCATCTAGGAAATGGATTTTAAAGTGCAAAAGGAAGATGTTCTAAATGATCAATTAAAGGACGCACTGGCCATGGTAGAAGAGAGTCAAAGAACAAAGGAGTCCGAGAGTCTGAAAGCAGAGAGCCTGGCCATGAAATTAAATGAGGCGTTAGCTGAACTGGAAACTGCCAAGACAAAGATGGTAAGAGACAGACTTCTCCTCTCCATGCAAGATCACAGCGCCGTGAGAACAAGGGGTTCAGAAATGGGGAGGGCAGGGGCCGCAGGGGCGGGGACGGGGGAGGGGGGGATAGTGCCCGGCCTCCACGCTGCTGCTGCCGCAGCCACCGAGGCTCTGGGTCAGATAGACCTTCCCCGGGGACCCTCCTGTGACTGTAGGATGCTCAGCAGCCTGGTCTCTGCCCACCAGACGCCAGCAGCTCCCTCCCCACAGCTGGGACAACCAAAACTGACCTCAGACTTTGCCAAACGTATGTGGGTTTCTCAGGCGAAGCATTGACACATGGGGAGGAGATTGAGCCCGGAGGCCCAACATGCAGCGGGGTGTGGGGAGCAGGAGAACGAGGTCATTAGAGAGAAGACAGGCTCATCCGAGAGGCAGGATGGGGGTGAGGACGAGGCTCTGGGATAGACCCATGAGAAGAGCCCTGGGAAGGAGAAGGTGGTCACGGCAAAGGGTCTGACTCACCATTTGGGGACCATGGGTAATTTTTGGTTTTTAGGAAATACAAAGTCATCCACTTTTTCTTTTCTTTTTTTAATTTTTTTTTACGTGTTTTTATTGATTTCAGAGAGAGAGATAGAAACATCAATGATGAGAGAGAATCATTGATTGGCTGCCTCCTACACTTCCCCTGTGAGGGGTTGAGCCTACAATCAGGGCATACACCCTGACTAGGAATCGAACCGTGACCTCCTGGTTCAGAGGTCGACACTCAACCACTGAACCACATCAGCCGGGCCATCCACTTTTTTCTTACGAAATCGTTCATTCATTAATTCAATGAGTACTTACTGAGCATGTGGCTCCCATGCTGTGGCAGGGATCTAGGCACCGATGATGCTGGGTGTGTTGGTAAATTTAAAAAGATCAGTCCCTGCTGGCATGGAGCTTACATGCTGGTGGGAGTGAGAAACAAAGACACGGGAGAATTCGGATCATGCTAAGTGCCTCAGAGGAAACAAAACAGGGTGATGGAATGGAAAGTGCCTCAGGTTGCTCCTCTGGTTAGGCAATCAGGGAGGGCCTCCCTGAGGAGGTGGCACGGGAGACCTGAAACTCGGGAAGGAATCAGCCATGCAAGGAGCCAGGGAAGCAGTGTACCACGCAGAGGGAACAACACACATGCAGAGGCCCTGAGGTGGGACCAAGCTCAGTGGCTGTGGGCGCAAAGGGGACGTGTTACTGTTGTTATTGTCAGAGCAGCCGCCCGAGGTCGCATTAACCATTTCTGTTTCCCCAGATCATGATGGAGGGGCGGATACAGCTGCAGCAGCAGACCATCAAGGCCCTCCACGAAGAACGAGAATCACTGAAACCGGGGTTTGAAGAAGAAGTCATGGGGTACAAGGAGCAGATCAAACAGCACTCCCTGACGATCGTGAATCTAGAAAAAAGACTCAAAAAAGTGACCGAACATCACCAGAAAATAGAAGAAGAGCTCGCAACTCTGAAGAACAATGACCTGGGTAGGTCCAAAGAGACCCTGAGGAACCCGAGTGTCGGGGCAGGTTCTGGTTGTCCTGTGGGCCCCAAGAGGCTGCTGGGTAAGAAACGGGCTTCTGCTCATTGCGAAGCTCACTGATCCCCTGGCGCCCCTTTCGTTCTTGTTACACAACACGGTTAGGGGCCCTCGAGGCCCGGGTGCGACTGAAGTGACCACGAAGAGTTGGAAGCCTCGGTGCCCGGCCAGCCAGCCAGGGAGGCACAGGCTGCCAGGGCTGCCAGGGCTGTCAGGGCTGTCGGAGTGGCCTGGCAGGGAACCCCCCTCCCCGCCAGGCAGGCGCCGTTCAAAGGCTCCCCTCTGCGTTGTAATTTGTGACTTTGTTTAACGCACTTTTGTAACCAGCCAGGGTTTGTTTCTTAAAAGCTAAACCCCAACGAGGCTGAAACGGAACTCGGAGTAGTGAGCATGTATTTGCCCTAAATGACCAAGACGCCGGCTGCTTGGGAGAGGTTCTCTAGCTGCTCTAAACGTCAGGGGTCATGAACGTCACTTCTCGGAGAAGAGTTCTGGAAGCAAAGGCCTGGGGCCAGGGTTTCTCAGCCTCAGCGCTATTGACATTTGGGGCCAGATAATTCTTTGGGGTGGTGGTCATCTGTGCACTGTAGGGTGTTGAGCAGCATCCCTGGCCTCCACCCACCAGATGCCAGTACCACCGCCCACCCCAGTGTGACAACCAAAAATGTCTCCAGACATTGACAAGTGTCCCCCACGTGAGGGGAGCAAACTCACCCCTGGTTGAGAATCATGGTCCTGGTCTCAAGCCAGTTGACGAGCTGTCAGGGCTCACCTCATGCCTTCATTCACGCCACACACTTAATTGAGCATCTATTATGTTCCAAGTTCATTCTAGGCACTGAAGGTTCAGTGATGGGCAAGCAGGCAAGGTCCCTTCAGTTAACCAAAATACTGCCCTGACAGGTGACCCAAGATGAGCAGGGCACCATGGCCAGGGCCTGGAGTGGGACTCAGTTTCTCAGGCCAGGTCCAGGTCAGAGGGAGGATGCTTAAGCTGGGACCTGAAGAGTGACAGCTTGGTCACCCCACACTTAGACCATAAAGCACTGAACTGTGGAATGAATGAATGAATGAGCATGTGATTGAGTGGTGAGGGTGGAAGTCGAAGGCAGTGGGCTGGGGAGTAAGTGGAAGATGTAGTAAGGACCCAACTCTTGTCTGAGTGCAGAGGAGGAAGTAGGGCGGGAGGTGTGACCCAGTGGTTAGGGCTCCACCTCTCACCAGCTGGCTGAGTGGACACAGGTTCCGTCACTCCTGTGTCCATTTCCCTGTCTGCATGGAGTTATTGATCTGTGCCTTAGAGAGTAGCTGGAAGGATTTCATGAGCTCAAAGAGGGGTGGGGGGAGTCCTCAGCCTGTGACACAGAACCTGTGGTACGTCCCGTTAGGGGGAGAGCACTGCGGGTGGAGGGAGAGTGTGTAAGTGGGGGAAGGTGCAGGTGCGCTGATGGGTTAACACGCATCGGGGAAAGAAGGCACGGGTGGCAGGACTGTAATGATGTTCACGTGTCCCTGATTCAGCCCAGGAGAAGGCAACGCAGCAAGACCGTCCCCCGGGGCCCCCGCTGGAGAGCCGCACCAAAGACGCAGTGTGTGACCACATGATGTGAGTACTCAGAGGCCGTGTCCGCGCCAGAGCACCCGCCCTGGCGTGCACGCCAGCCATGACAAACCCACAAACTCCCACTTCTGGCCGCGTTGTCGGAATCTGAAAAAGGGAGTGGAGTCCGGGGTCTGCTTGCTGTTATTTAACTTTCTTGATTCTTTTAGCAAGTCAGGATGATGTCATGAAAAAGCCTGGGTGGATCTGTGTTCAAATCCCAACTCAACCCTCTCCAGCTGTGTGAGGCGGGACCTCGGCTTCCTCATCTGTGAAACAAGGAGGCTCGGGCCGGGCGCACGGGAAATGCTGGCTCACACTGCGGCGAGCAGGTGGTCGCGGCAGCAGAGAGCAGAGGTTGCCAGCAGTGGAGACCACTTGGTGGAGAGGTCCTAGAGGGGTTCAAAGTTCAGAGGTTAGACTAAATGACTTTGAAGATCTCTCCCAACCTCAAAGTCATATTTCAGCCTCAGACGGAACCCAGCCAGGGCCCTTTGTTCTATCTCGATGTATCTCTTTCTTTTTAATATATTGGTTCAAAGTGAGGTTAGACTAAATGACTTTGAAGATCTCTCCCAACCTCAAAGTCATATTTCAGCCTCAGACGGAACCCAGCCAGGGCCGCCCT